GGAAACCGCAATCTATTGGGGGCCGCTGTCCAGTACATCGGCTCATACACCGTTTGGACGGGCCAAGCGTTCAAGGTACCCAAAGATCTCGAAGCCCAGTCGAGGCGGTGACCACTGCCACAATCAAGACGGTGTGTATATGTGTTTTCGTGATTCGTACGGCTCTTGTTGGTTGGTTTAGAATCAGGAATTTCAGCCAACTACCCTCGGTGAGCTGCCAATGGTTCACCAACCCGGTCATAGCTCCTTCCAGATATTAGCCTTTCGTCCTCTCAGTTAGATGCGAGAGCCCCTCCGCCACGAGAAGGCAGTGAGTAGGGCTTCTTCAACAGAGGTTATTTGGGACACTTGGTCATATGGGAACATTTCGTAAGGTGCAAGGACGGACTGACCAGCCGATACTCGAAACACCCATCTGGACCATAGTTGTGTTTTCGTTAAAAAGCCGAGTGGTACTGATCATACCATTTTGTACCACATGCTCTTTATGAGTTTATCTCTTCATTGATTTGAATCGAAAACAAATGCGACTAGTTTGTTTGAGATGAATTGCCAAACCTCAGATAAAGTTTGGAAGCTGTTAGTTAAGCTTCACGCATTCCGACTTTGATAACCTTTGGTTTTCCAATTGCATTTGATATCGGCTGATTGTCGTCGCAAAAAATGAATCAAGGAATCTGTAAGGCTCAATAACAATTCACTCCTCATTCATGGTGCTTCTAGGTCCTCAAAGCGGCTTCAGAGTGCTCAAGAAAAAGTGACAACTAGTGCATATATTGCGATAGAGAAATGACAGGGGTTCAGCGAACCAGTTCAATTTTCGCTATTTATCGAAATGTCCTCTCTTTCAACTGATTGGAGTTGGTATGAGGAACAGTAACACCGTCACGCTGGGTCCATATTCTATAAATTAACCAGTTAACTATACAGTAAGCATTGATCTAAGGTATGCTTGGGGCCCAAACTACAACGGAAAACACTAGATTATGTGGATAATTATCATTCATGACATTCTACAATTTTTCAGTCGCATCATTTATCTTCTTCTTTAGTCTCATAACTTTGGGTATCGTTCCACGAAAATTTGGTTTCCTCCAGTTTCCCATTTAACCCTCCCTCAGATAACAGGAACCCGAAGCAAAACACTTGGTCGAGGTTATCGGTTTTTCTAACCGTATTATAACAATCGGTGTATATTTACTCACCACTGTGTTCTTTATCTGTCCCACTGACTAACAAAATGAGCTTTGGAATACCGTAGAACTCCAAACAGACGGTGCAACAAAATTTTGTTTTGCCGGGTGCGGCATTCAGCTATGACTAGCCGTTTTAAATGAGGTTAAACCTGATTTTTTGTTTTCTGTCACACCAAGCAACACTGAGTCCTGTTTGAAAATGATTTCCCAACGATTCTCTGAAAGTTCATTTGGAAAAGTGGAAGAAAATCTCTGGATTATAAGTAGGTATTTGTAGCGCCAGAAACTTCATTGCGAAAACGAGCAGGCACTCTATTTGTATTGTTTCTCACAATTTCCATTTGATAGACAAAAAGCTGTGGGAGTACCGAATAGATAGATTGACCATTTAGATCATATTCCTCACTCCGTCACTTCGGCTTCCTCCAACCCGGTAACATTGAGGTAAATATGGCAACTTTCAACGGCGGAGGTCGATCCAGATCTTTCCTTCATTGACTCAAGAGAAATTCTTAGGAGAAGCTAGGCTTTCGTTCATCAGTCACTCATATGTGACATATAGTTTTCCGTAAAACAGTGCGTTTATCGATAAGAACATAGTCTTCTACCAAGGCCTTCGTAGAGGTTTGCCCCCCCACCCAAACAAAAGAATTTTCATTGTACTTGAAACCAATAACTAAAACACTTGAACCATTTTCACCACTAGACCTAGCGGGGGCCTTATGTAGTTTCCCACCCCAAGTCCCGGGGCCCGGGTTACCAGTTTTCATCACTGGACAGCAACTCTTCACCACTGTGTGGTCCACCCCTTCTATTGTTCGTTACACAGTTGTGATAAAAAAGAAAAATCTCTTGAGCAACAATTAATCTGTACTTGGAATTCAGGTCACTGTTCCCTCTTTACTATTCAGTGACAATTCTCCAACTGAAGCTACACCCTCTACTCGTACATATAATTCGGCAATCAAACAAACTGACTGTTCGTATAGTTTCATTTATATTGCTATCTCTTGAACTTCTCATCTATCATGTGTTCTCGTAAGCCAAGTCCACGTTTGGTACCCGTTGAGTACCTGTAGAAAAACACTTCATTCAAACCGGCTGATCGCCTTATAAATCTGCTGAACGCATTGTCATCGTTGACCCATTGGTTCTTACCGGTTCTTGATTTTTTCCAGCTCTCCCACTGTACAACCTTTAAGACGCAAGATATGTCCTTTGACTACTCACGAGTCGCTTACACCAGAGTGAACCCAATTCCAACACCAAACAAAACATTGCTGGGTCGGTCTATTACTAACCTGTATTAGCAAAACCGATCTCCCGTGGAACTAGTGTAATCATTCAGCTGTCTACAGCTGGTTTGGATATCTGTTTCATGATGATAATGTTGATTGTCCTTGTATCAGTAATAACTCTCGAAATATAAATGATATACCCTGTACCATATTTCACGGTTAGCATTTTATCCGACCGATAACGAAGGAAATCGGGTATAGTTCTTAGAGAAAATTAACCGTGAAGGTTCATATATATATAGAATCTTTTTGAATTCCCGCCTATCGAAAGACATCTGCAGTTCACTGTTACCGGTAATCTCGTCGTTTCACATCCACACTCTGGATAAAGCTGCATCCGTTGTTATCTGTTTACACATTCGCATGACTGGGTTACTCCACTGTAGTCTCGAGGGCGGTGTACCCGTAGTACCCGTCCAACATCGCTCCGTCGCATTAGTGGAGCACTGTGATAAGCCTTTTCAGTTTGTGTTAACCGATGGCAGTTCATCGTATCCGATAATCGTTGAACCGTTTTGTATTTTATTCATTCATTAAAATTAACTCAAATTTTATCCACAAAAATAGCGGAATTTTGCGTCTGCTTCACTCGTTTATGAACGGTTACAATTGTCAATGTCAATGAACTCTGTTGTACTTCTTTCAATTTACTGATTAGAATTGCTTGTTTACTGGATACTGATCGGGATGAGCTTGTGAGCTATCTGCAGTCACCTGATTCAGATATTTTTGGTCGTTCAAACGATGCTGTTCCAGCTGCGGTCTGTCTGGGCTCGGCTGCCCATTTCAATTTTGCGGTGCTCAGTCGTCATCAGCGGTCGGAGAGTTGTGGTCTGGAACATGTGGTGGATGCGGTCTGTTTAGCCTGTCTAAACCACCTCGCTCGCTGTACGTTTCATTTTGTCTCTGTGGGAAATTTTTCCTCAATTTTCATACAACAAACAAAGACTGTGTTCCTGTTTCACGCGACTCCACCACGGAAACTAGAATTTATCATAATTGCTTATTCTCCCATGCTTATAATCAGTTTCAGTTCCAGTTTGCACAACCATTCGCCATGCACTATAGTGCGCCTGTTTTGGTTGCGATCTTTCGGCTGCCCATTTGAATGAACATTAGGAGAAAGACAGGAAAGATTGAAAGTAGGATCGAAGAGGAAATTGAAAAGTTCAGTGGATTAGTGATACAGATAAATTGTAAGGATGCACGAACGCCACTGTTTACGACACCCAGCCATATCATTCAGTGTCTCTAGCTTGACCAACTCGGGTTTTCTTCCACCCACTCCCATCCTCGGCAAACATCGCTCGCCGTGGCAGCTTATTTGGAGACATGCGTAACACATGCCCCAATCAACGTAATCTATGGAGGTCGAACACTTGCTCCAGTGGGCGACCGCGGACACCCAAAACACTGCACCTAACCTCAGCATTGCTCATCCGGCCACCCCACCAGATTCGTGCAATGCTGCGTTTTCAAACACCGACAGTCTATCTTGTCCTGTTTCCTCAATGTCCAAATTTTTAGCTCCGTATAGCAGACTGGCCGAACTACTGCAGCATATACTCGACCGTTCACAGACAGCCGGATGTCGCGACGGCGCCACAGATGTCTCAAGTTGGCAAATGCCAACCGAGCTTTCTGTATGCGAGCTGACACTTCATCCGTGATGCGTCCACCGAGTGAGATGTAGCTGCCCAAATAGCAAAACTTATCCACCTGCTCTATAACTTCCCCAGTTGGAGTGAGGATGGGTGCTGGACCAACCCAGTCTTGTAGTAACATTTTACACTTTGAAGGTGCAAAACGCATACCGCATATAGCTACACTGGCATTCAACTTATCCAGAAATGCTTGCAACTTACCTGGATCTTCGCTTAGTAGCACAATGTCGTCTGCGTACTCCAGATCAGACAGCCTGCCACTATCCTCGCACGAGGATAGGGCTGTTTCC